TCGAGAATCGGAATACGCGATTGAAAAGCAACCGCCGCACGGTCCTCGCAAATTTCTAGTGGGTGTGGGAGGGGGAGAGAGAGAGAGGGAGAGAGCAGGAAAGTGGGTGAAAGAGGGGGGGAGAATGGGTAACGAGGTGAGAGTGAGAGAGTGAAAGAGGGAGGGGTTGAGGGAGTGAGGGAGAAAGGGAGAAGTTCAGGGGATAGATCCGAAACTGGGTTTCACGCCAGGTCAGCTCGTTGGATTGATTCCAGTACGCGCTGTCCCCGATCGCTACTCGCGTGGTTGGGAGGGAGAGAGAGAGAGCAAGAGAGAGAGAGAGAGAGAGAGAGAGAGAGAGAGAGAGAGAGAGAAAGAGAGAGAAAGAGAGAACGGGAAGGGAAAGGAGAGGGTGAGGAAGAAAAAGAGGGCGATAGAGGAAGAGAGTGAGAAGGGAAGAGAGAGAAAAGAGGAAAAGAAGGGAAGTAGGAGAGGGATCCGAAGGGTGATTCATAACGGGGCCCAGTACCTGATAGGCGCACTGGATTGTGATCAGGACGCACCTTCCATCATCGCGTTCCGCGTGGAGAGTGGAGAGTGGAGAGTGAGAGAGAGAGAGAGAGGGAGAGAGGAAGAGGGAGAGAGTGAGAATCAGAGAGAGAGAACGAAAGGGAGGGAGAGAGAGGGGGAGAGAGAGAAAGGGAGGTGGGTAAGGGATCGTAAAGAGAGAGAGAGGAAGGGGAGGGGAGCAAGGGAGAGAAAAGGGGGGAGGGAGAGCGCTAAGGGAGAAGTCAAATTGGTATCTAATATGATCGGGAACCGGATGGGGAACCTGATTAGTTCGATAGCCTGATCAGATCGGAAACCTGATTATCGGGAACCTGATTGGGAACCTGATTGGTTCAGAAGCTTGATCGGATCGGGAACCAGATAGGATCGGGAGCTGGATCAGGAGCTAGTGCAAGGGGAGCGAGAAAAAAAGGGAAAGGGAGCGCAGGGAACAGTTAAGTGCGAGTGAGAGGAAGCTATTGGGAACCTGATCGGAGCGGGAATCGGATAGGATAGGGAGCTTGATCAGGAGTTAGTGCAAGGGGAGCG